TGCTATGGCTATTTTGAGAAGCACCCCCAGGAGTGGTCTGACCCTAGTGACCCCCTGGATCTAACGGTCTCAGGTGAGCAGCCCCGGATCCCATCCTCTCTGAGCACAGGCAGCTCAGGGTCCCGCCTGCAGGATTCATCTGAGATTGGATGAGAGTGGGGGGTCTGAGTGTTGCTCACCCAGCAGAGATTTTCTCTCAGAGACACGCCCACTTTTGCTGAATCCTCCCCATGAACTGTTTTGGGAAGTGGTTAGGTGGGCGGGGGGAGTGTCTTCGGGGATCACAGAGCAGATGTAGGAGAAGCGACGGAGTGATTTGGAAACTCCAGAGTGAGCCCCAGCCTCCCCTGTTTCTATCCTCATTTCCAGGACCCTCTGGAGGCCCCAGGCCACCACCCACAGGGCCCACCTCCACAGCTGGTGAGTCCTGGGGAGGTCTGCTCAGAGGTAGCCCAGCCCACCCAGCAAGTCCTGAGAGCCTGTCAGGGGATCGAGTGACCCAGATCCTCAAGAACGGGCCTGTGTCCCAGGGGGCCTGGGAGACCCAGGGTTCTGAGGCAGTGATGGTTGGGGTGGTCATGGCAGAGGGGGACATGGGGGCATAGGCTGGGGAGGGGGAGCTGAGTTCTACTGAGATAAGGCAGCCCCTACCGTCACCATTCATCCTCATCCTAGGAGGCTCTAAGTCATGCCTACAGACGGGTATGTGAGAGTCCTGCGGAGGTGGTAGGTTCCTCCATGGCGACAGGGCTGAACCATGGGGGGGTTACGGGATTCAGGTTCTTCTGGATTCGTTGACATGGACACCCCTTCTCCTGTCTGGGTTTTATTGTCTCTAAGTGAAAAGGAGGGAATCCTTTTCTAGAGCTTAGATTTCCTGTCAGTTATGGTCCTGATGTCCTGGGGAGAGGGGTCCTCACAGGGAAGCCCCCAGAACGTGATGTTATGGGACCTGTCCCCTCTTTATCAGTGACGGTGACACTGTACAGGGAGGGACAGGCAGGACAAGGGTCCGGGCACCCAGTCCTACCCCTCAGCTCAGGCTCAGCTCAGAGGAGGGAACAGGGTGGATCAGCCCTGGTTCAGCTTATGGCTCTGCTGCTCCTGTTGTGGTGCAGGTCTGTCCCTTCTCTCCACTGAGTGCCGGGTTCCTGTCTGCTCATCCCTGGTCCCATCCTGCTCACAGTTGCTGGGAGATGAGGTGACATTAGGGCCTCACAATCTCAGGAAGACAGAGCCCCCAGCCCAACCCGACCTTCCCAATGGGGCATCAGGGCCTCCCACGGTGAGATGGAATCCAGAGAGACCAAGAGTCCACACCATACTCTGACCCTCCCTATACCTCCTGTGCTCCAGGCAAGTACAGAGGAAGGACCCTCAGCTCCAGATGAGACATTGACAGGCCCCTGCAGAGGAGGCGCCCAGAGCACAAAGCTAGTCACCGTGTGGGGGGCAGTGTGAGGACAGCACAGGGAACCCACAGTCCTGGGTTCCAGTCCCAGCCCCGTCCCTTGCAGGCTGGGTGACCTGGGGCATGTGGTTAATTTCTCTGAGCCTCAGTGAAATAGATGGTGGGGTCAGCCATCCCTGGTGCATGAGGTGAGAGGACATGAGTGACAGACCCCAGCAGGAACCTCACACACAGTAGGTGCTCATTAAATGGCATCCGTGGCTGATTCATGACAGTATGCGGGGAAGATAGGGTGCCAGGTCTTTCAAGTCTCATTCCTTCCCAGGAGTCATCCCCAAACTCTCCATCTGGTCTGACCCAGGACCCATTGTCAACAAGGGAAGCCCTGTGGCCATCTGGTGACAGGGGTCTCTTTGTTTCAATTTGTTTTGTTTCATTATGGTTTCTTAGGAATGCCCTTTTTCTGACAGATACACATCTGCCCAAATTACCTTTTCTCTATGACTTCTCACCACATGACACTCATTACAAAGGCTTCTTGGTAGCAACCATTTGGCTACTAACCCAATGGAAT